TCAGAGATCATAGACGAGGTTTGTTATTTGTTCTTTGGTTAGCGGAGCTTACCAATGGCAAAATTCTATAACCAACAATGCTAAATGGAAGAATTTAATGTATAATTCAAATCACTAATGTAACAAATATCCCAGAGGAAACAAAGCGGCAATACTTGGAAATGAACATACTGGATCTACTGAAGATCTGTTTTGATGTGTACAAGATGAGTCAGACCATTGTGTGTCATTCACAAGTTTCATAGCATTGGATGGAAAATTCGCACAGTTGGCTGAATACAAGCTTACAGTACGTTGAGACATAAAAGTTACATGGAGATCTGATATCTTTCACCTCTATCCCCCTCTTTGACCAGGCTTTAGATCACCCAATGGGTGGCAGCTCCTAAGGCTAGCATTAATTTTTCCCCGACCGCTACAAAGTAGGAGCGTTTTCTGCATTAAAGGGCTAATTAAATGCAAGTTTTACATATGAACAGCTGATCAGCAAAGCAACATGATGTTCCCTTAGTTTTGTCTGTTTATGCTCCTCCAAGCAGAAGGAAAGTTCATAAAGTTATTACTAAAAATATTCTTCCAGCACTGTACTGAGTTTGAACAGCTTGGTAACAGATGTCAACAAAAAGTGTTACAATCCTGAACAGTTGTAGATTTCAATCCATCCCTTATTTCTTCTGTTCTTCTACTCTTGAGGAATACAAGAACAGAAGAAATAGGGGCAGGGGTAAAAAAATTCATCTCCCTTGAGGGTGATTCTTTGTTCTGTTTGGTTGTGGTTAATCTTTGACCTCAACTCCACTTTCCCAGCTGATCCCAGCATATCTCTTGATTCCCTTAGGGTCCAATAATCTACTGAACACAGCCTTAAATACATTCAGTGACTGAACATCCTCAGACCTCAGAGGTTGAGAATTTTCCAGTTTCACAGAGCTCTGAAAAAAGAAATTTCACCTCTTCAATAATAAATAGTTGACCACTTAACCCGTGAATCTTTAGTTTTGGACTCTCCAGCCAGGGAACAACCTCTCAACATCACGGTTCTCTCGGAATCTTCTGTCATTTCAAAGATATCACCTCTCTCTGATTGAGACTTTAGACACATCCCATTCAATCTTTCCTTGTAAAACTACACTCTCATCCCAAGAATCAATCTACTGACACTTCATTGCACCTCCCCTAAGCCGAGTAGCTGTGAAAATCCAGGCCAATGCATTCATTTAACGTCTCCCCCATTTCCTTATTTTCCTTAAAAATTAGAGAAGCAAATTATTACTCAATTCCAAAATCTAAGAAGTAGCCATTGATAAATCCCCTCAAAATCCCTGGTGGGGAAATGGAGATGCACTTAGGTTAGAACTAGCTAAGTAGCAGGCTTTCTTACCTGAGGGCAATAAGTGAACCAATCAGGGGCTTTTCAACAGGTCTATCGTCATATTTACTGACACCAACTTTTTATTTCAAGAGCCTCTTGTTTAAAACTAAATAATTTTAATCTGCCATGATGGAAGATGAAATACGTCTCTGCATTAATTAATTCTAGTCACCATCCCCAGTCCAGTAACTTGTCCCATGCACATGTCCAATGCACAATCAACACTTGGTGCTTCTTAATTTGTTTTTCTGTAAGGTATCTAGAACAATGCTCACAGCAGAAAATATTGTTGCCACAAGGTATGATCTGTGTGTTAACTAAATGATTAAAAACTTTGGAGATCTGAGTTTATGACTTACAATTGTTGGAAAACTCAAAATTTGTTAATAATCATACCTTTTCTATTGCTAATCCCAGAACATTAAAACGATAGACTGGATCACTATTGATTACTCATGTTATCCCTTCTATCTCCTGATAACTTTTAAAACCTAAAGTTGATGCCAATTACGAAATACTTTTGGACATATCCCATTTCCTTGACACATTTTTCAATTATAGTACTATCATGTTCATGGCCTTCAGATCTTTAACAGTTTTTTTTCAAGAAAAATGCTATTGGAATGAATCAGAAGTAACTATAATATTTCTCTTCTGCTGAACTACTTTTTATTGATATTGTCTGCAGCTAAGGTTGACTTGTGGGTTACCTATTGATTATATTATTTGTTATTAATGACTTCCTGACAGGTTAGATACTAAACGATTATAACATTGCCATAAATAGGCTTTGATGTAATCAGAAATATTGAAAGTCCATGATATCCATTAAGATGGTCAATGTTAAGATAAAACATTGGGAGAAGGCACATGTTGATTATTCTGAATGTATTTTGTTTTAATATTGAAGTAACTGAATGAACCAACTGTTCTTATATCGATAGCTTATTTGTCCTACCACACACAAGCATTCCATAATTTATATTAGCGACAGCACAGTGATTTAGTTTTTAAAAAAGCTGGGAACTTCTTTCAAAGTTTATAGGCCATACTTTAGGCTAATCTTTACCAAAGGAGATCAGTTTCCATTGCTGGGGATAAAAGCAGGAGGCGATCCTCACTCCAGGGGATAGCATGACCCTGGCATGACATTTTGCTTGTGCTTTCACTGGGTTGCTGGCAATTGAGGAAAGCAGCTCACTCACCCCACAACCCTCCCTCCCAGAGGGCTGCTGGCCCAATCCGAGTCCGTAGCAGTGCCACTGCTACACTCTCAGATATGGCTCAGTCTACTTAAGGAAGCTACGATGACAGAGGCAGGAGCAATTTACAGCAGATGCTGGAATCTGAACTAAAAATAAAAAGTGTTGGAGATCACAATGTGGCAGACAGCATCCATGGAGAGAAAGCAAGCTAACTTTTCGAGTCTAGATGATTCTTCATCTGAGCTCTGATGAAGAGTCATCTAGACTCGAAATGTTAGCTTGCTTTCTCTCCATGGATGCGACCTAACCTTTGTGATTTCAGTGAGAGAGGCAGGTCCCAGCACTCAAGGTGGGGATAGGAGAGAGCGGGGATTAATCTGTCAGTAGTGCCTTGGCTGCAAGGCTGACAAATGTTGTTGGGGCATGAAATAGGAGAGATTCTCCCCTGCAATCCCAGGAATCTGCTGGAGATCATCTGGGTCTACCTGTCAGTTTCCCCATGCCACATTAGACTCTCATGACATGGAGAAGTGTAAGTGTGGGTGAGAAGTGGCTCTTAATTGGACATTTAATTTCTTAATTCCAGGTGAACATGTGCTGCTGAGATTCCTGCCACTGGCAATGTGTCTGTCTCCAAAGAGCTGGGAAATCTCAGCCTTTTATGTCCCTCAGCATGAGGTGTGAGTATGAGTGAGAGACAGATAACAATAAAAAACTGTAAACAGCTGGCCTGTAGCAGTACTTTGGTTAACTTTGGGTATTTTAGTAAATGCTAAATTAGTGCCTGAAGGCCACAAGGATAAATGTTTGAAGAAGGTCTTAGATCTGACTATTTTCAGTTCCGAAACTGATAGACACCTGATGTACAGAAACTTAGAGTCATACAGTCATAGACTTCATTGGCAATGAGTGGAAAAGCTAACCTTAATCACTACTAGCCTTTCCTAATACACTGTGATAATAGATCGCAAATAATTGCAAAACAGAAAATTACAAATACAGAACCTCCCTGAAAAGACTTTAGACTTAGCTGAAATAGCTCAGTTCGGAGAATGTTCAATACTGGATTTCAGCAGAATAAATAGAATTAACTTATCAAGATAAGGAAGGGAATGAGACAAAATTCAACTCCCCTGAAAAATATGGAAAGAGTTCATGATGTGAAATCAATCTTCATCAACTTACTGCGTCCATGCCAAGTTTGTGTTGTCTGTTAATTAACATGATTGCAACAATTAGAAAGAGGTTGTGGGAGGCTAACTCTAGTTAAACTAGCTTGTTACTTAAAGCCAGCCTAAAAGAGTTAAAAACTGTGGCTGAAAAACATGCTAAATTCACTGTAGGGCTTATTCTGATATAGGGAAAAGCATCATAACACCGCAGATGTGAGAAAGTTGGCTCTAAGATTTTCAAGTGCTACGCTTGAGACCTAGGTTGAGGAAATGTGCCTTATCCATGTTGTTCTTTGCTTTGTTAATCACTAAATGAATTATAGACAATCACACTGGGCTGCGTCAGGATGTCATCATAGCTCTTAGCTACTGGATATGTCATTCTTTGATTACCTAATTGTCTACTATATCAGAGCAGGGATTTGTCATGCTAAGAAAGAACAGACTTGCATTTATGAAGCATCTTTATCACATGTCACAGAACCTCTGAACACACGTCACATGCAATTGATTATATTTGAATTGCAATCATTTTTGTTTAATGAATAAACACTGAAAATTGATTTGCACACAACAAGGCTCTGCAAACAGCAATGCTTGTCTGACTTGATCTTTTTGCTTCTTCACCTCCTTGAGTTGAGGCTTTTTACTTTCCTTCAATAAATCTCTGTTGAGTGACCCAAAGATAAGCACATGAACCCTAACTGAGTGCATTGAGCTAAACTACCACACAGTATTAAATGTTATCACTGTTACTGGAAACCCAGCAGTCCATTGCTGCTCCATCTTTTAGATTTTAGTTTTGCTGTAATTCCAAAGCCTCAACATTTTCATCAACAGAACAAAAATTAATTGCATAGAGGTGGAGCATGTGGAATCTGCACAAAATGTGGTAATGGCCAATATTGAATGCCCTGTCCATTATAAACGAATTTCAGTTATCCTTTTTATTAAAGTTAGTGGCACGGAAAATTGATCGAGGTAGGCAATTCAATATCACCATCTTACACCATTGTCAGGACTTAAAAGCATATGCTTGAATGTGCAATTTCTCAATGTCATACAAACATCATAAATGGACAAACTATTGCTTTGTCTAACCTCAAATCTTACTCCAGTCTATGTGCCTGACTATACTTATTAGATATAACTGCAGATATGATTAAAATGAGAACCAGGTATAAAAATTGTTTGAACATAATTAATCAATCAACAAATTAAGTCGAGTAAATTAAAGGATTATTTTCTTACCTTTCTCTTTCGAAGTTTTATGGTACTATCTGTAGGATTATAGTTATTTGTACTTTGCTGTAAATTTAATATTTGGGGGCTCTGCTTTGCAACACTCGTATTAGTATTTGTGGTATCAGAAAAATTTTCAGCTTGTCCTACATCTAGACTGAATTCCTCCAGAAATGTTTGATCCAAACTCTCCTCTGAGCATATCTGAGATGCCATTTTACAATTCACAGGGATAACCTCTGATGTCGTTTGTACATCACCATTCGTGTCAAGTTGTCCAGTCATATTCACAGTAACCTCCCCATCACATTCATTTCTCAGCATGTCATGTTTTCTACGCTGCTGTGCAATTACTGCAGTATGGAGAAGCTCCTCTGTTGGAATAATTGCATGCGAACTCCTAACCATATTTCTCCTCAGATTTAACTCCTCTGAAGACTCCAGGTGTTCAGACTCACTTGTTTTCTCATCGTCTTTTGTGTCTTCTTCAGGGACAGAATCATAATCAGGGTCATTTTCTATTCCAAAAGTCTCAGGTCTATTCTTGGTCACTTGGTCAACCTTTGTTACTGGTGATTTTTCAATTAGTGCTCCTTCACTCCCTGAGGTCAGCAGTTCTCCTGCAACATAATCTTCCGCACAACTGAGATCTGAGTTTTCATCTGATACATGGACTAGAGTCTCTGTACTTGCTTCTAATGAAAGAATATACTCTTCACTTTCAAGATTATCATTTTCATCCACCTCTCTTCTATGCTCACACAGTTGCTTTGCTTGACGGGCAGACAGATCAGAGTTATGGCAAGATTCTGGTAAAGAAACACTGGAAAATCTTTTCTTCTTGTCTGTTTGTGAGTTTTCATCGCTTTCCATGCTTAATTTTAGATTAGGAGCCACAAGCCCATGACAACAGACTGCACCAGAATCATCAAAATCAAATGAAAAGCCAGGCCAATTGGTCACATGATCTTCCCAGCTTCTTTTCTTATTAGCTAAAGACATGTCATCACAATCCAGTTACTGATTTTTCCAGACATACATCAGAGAGAGAGAGAGAGAAACACACTTAGGAAGAGCGGTTGACTTTCTCCATGACAAAGAACACTTGGCATTTTCTGTTCCTCAAAGTCATGTTAGCAGAATCTGGGTCATAAAGAAAAGAACAGTTTCAGAGGTTTGATAAAAATGCAACTGCTCAAAAAAAGTCACTTTATTCTGTTCCAACATCTTTTCCATCACAGCAATATCAGAAACATTGCCTTTTTTAAAACATACATATGAATGCCAAGCTCGTTGTAACATGTGAGACAACAAGGTGCAGGGCTGGATGAACACAGCAGGCCAAGCAGCA